TATCTATCTATCTATCTAACTATCTCTCTCTTGCCTTAAACTAAGCTTAGCTTAATATTTTTCAGACTGTTTGATGTAAGTGTAAAGGACAACCATGACTCGCTGCAACTCGAATTTCCCGTATGTTAAGCAATAAATCATAAAAATCTCATTATTTTATTAGTTTTACATAAACTAATGCGTTCTGTGTTAATGTTTAAACGAATTAATGTAATCTGTATGCGTACGGAAACTTACGGTTATCGTTTTACGCGACCTCTCAAGGGTATCAATTGTTTACGGAGGCACTTAAAGCGGTCAGTAGTGTGGTCAATAGTTCCCATCGTGTACATATCAGGCTGTTAGCTTATGGAGGGTAAAGAAATTTAAAAGATTAATTCCTTACATGCTTTAATTTTAGCATTTAAGTAATTTCCTTTCAACCCAATACGTGACCATAACTAAGAAAAATCAAAAAACATGCGCTTATATAAGCAAAATATAAATACGTTTGTATATGTGTACGTATAAATCAATATTGCAATGTTTACGATGGGATTTGTTATAATTTTAGTTTTTATTTTTTTTATTTTTTTTTTTTAACCTTTTTGAGACCGGACAGAGCAGCTGTTCTTTTAAAGTTTATTTCCCTTCTTTCTCAAAGGAAAGGGATTTATACTCAAATATTCATTTTAACTTACGTATATAACATGTTATACATGAGATTTGTTTCCATTGCTCAATAAACTTGTTCTGGCTGTTGAGCTCCTCTTAATAAACTTAAGTGCAAAGTTTCGCTTTGTACTTGCTCTTTTAGTTTGGCTTCTTGTCTCAATATTTAGTTTGATCGTTTTGGTCTGATTTTGTTTTCTTAAAAAAAAAAAAAAAAAGGCAAAGGAAAAGAAAAAGAAAAAGAAAAAAAACGCCTATGTTTATATATATACAAATATATGCTTGTGCTCCTTATATACTTTCCAAATGCTTACTTTTCGTTTAACGTAGGTACGCATGCGTGTGTAGGCATATTTTAGCTGGCAGGTGTTTCTTTCGGGACAAAGTGATTTAACCGAGAATCATAAAAAACAAAAGGCCCCTTATTTCTTCTTCTTATTATCATTTGCAAATAACACAAAACATAATTTTATAAAATTTAGTAAAAAGTAAAAAAATAAAAGAAGAAAACTTTCGTATCGTTCACTTCATGGTAAAGGAATGAATTTTAAAATCTGTTTTCTTAAAACTTTTAATTTATTCCATTTTTAAATCGGTAGGCAATCATATAATTGAATTTAATAATTTTATAGATTTTTCGTGCGAATGCTTTAAGATCGAGTCCTAGCGTTTCCTGCATAGAAAGAGATCAAATATTACAAATATTTTGAGTTTCATAACAGAAAAGTTGCAATAAACTTTCACATAAGCAGATATTCTTATAAAAAAAGAAAGTCTTTAAGAGCCCAATGTAAAGATTCTTCCGATGTTTCCAAATTTTTTTTGCTTTACTATCAGTCAGCAGCTTCACATTGCTTGAAGGTACGCACGCGTTTTATCGTTTTGGCCCCATACTAGAAAACGAGGTTATTCGGGGGCGCACAAAACATTTTTCCTAGTTAGCTCAGCTTGTCGTGAGTCATTTTATAATATATTCAACGGACTAAGTTCTTAGACATATATATATATATATATATATATATATAGCAATAAAGATTTATTATTTATTTATTATTTATACAGATTTGTGAATACAAGATCTTAGGATTTTTATCAAGAACTATTCTTCATTTAGGACATTTTATATTTTTCCAAAAGTTATTTTAAAAATTTTATGCCTGTCATCAATGATTATCAATTTTCTAGTAGGATGTAACTCAAGCCCTTCCATAAAAATGGATAAGCTCTCGATATTTGAAAAAATGGACAAAGAAAAACGCGGACTAGCAGCCGCACAAAATTAATTCCTAATCCTACTCATCTTGGGGTGAACGTTGCTTACCTATCGTCTCAAGCTTGTTTTTATAAAAATTTTCAAAGCAGTCAGTCATTACTTAAAAAATGAGACAAGGTGCTGACAGCGCACAAAATGGATCGAATTGAGTCTTTTGTTCCATGTCGAGTGACGCTTGCGTAAAACGTGCAAAGCACTTGTTATTTAATGTATGAATAAGTAAATGGACAGAAGAACCGGATGAAAGCGATTAAGAATCTCCGCCTGAGTAGTCAAAGAGTCTTGAGTAACAACTCGATGGGGTCGTGGGTGCAAAGCTCAAATGCGAGATAGCTAGATTTTTAATAAAGCCGATACCCTTAGATGCTAGTGCTTCAAAATTTTAGTCTTAGTATTCAAGCTCTGGGTAAATTAATAATAATCATAAAAAAATTATATATCGAATGTGCATACGTCCGAGGATAATGAACAAGTTGAAAAAGTGGATGCACTTCCCTTTTCCATTAATGATTGATGAACAACTTCTATACGACTATTGTGCTTAATAAAAGTTTTCAATTGTTTTTGTTCTCACGTTATACCTTCAATTACGTCTTATTTTCGCACCAATTAGTCACAGATAAAAATAGAAAAACTAATATTTAGATCATAAAACAAATCAACCGTAAAAAGAAAACCTTAAGAGAAGGGCAAAAAAAACAAAAAGAAATTTTCAATATTGTCTATAATGCAATGACCTCAACATACTGTTTTATTGTATAATACTAACGATGTATAACTTTGGGAAAAGAAAAACTGACCGTAATACAAAGAAGACAATAAATAATTTTACCTCTATGAGTTAATGAGCAGAACAACCAAAACAATAAAAGCCAAAGAAAATACAAAATAAAATCGAATTAAATTGAAAGAGGGAGAGAGAGAGAGAGAGAGAGAGAGAGAGAGAGAGAGAGAAAAAACAGAAAAATTAATTGAAAGTTACCTTAAACTCTATCATTTTATTAAAGAATTTAGATTAAGGAGCAAAATACAATTTAAATTTTCATCTTCCCCTTCAACGTTGTTTACAATATAGTTTCATTTGTCTACTATGCAAGGCGATGCATCGGTATTCGTTTAATTGTTTTGCGTTCAGTCGTGCGCTAACAATGCCATCCGATCGCCTAACCGCAATAATTCAATTCTCAGTTTAAATGATGTTCACATGAACAATACTTTGATTCAAAATTTACGATAACCGATATTATGTTAACAGTTACTCAACGTTATCCTGTTAACTTAAAAATGCTTTTACGTTTTGCACAAAAAATTCGAAACATTTATGCGGGTCTTTAAATATACGCAGAGTATACGGGAATCGGTCATTGAAACGAGGATATCTTATATTTTATAATAATAGGTCGTCTACTTGTAAATTGCTCAAGTGCTTGTTAATAAATCGATACATTTGCTCAAGTTTTTGCAAGCGGTAAAATCGCTACGCAACGACATACATACACATTAATGTGTATTCAAATTTAGCTCTTGAGAGGTCTCCTTGCCAGTATAAGTGCACACACGCATTTCTGCAAAAGACAAAACACATGAATGCTGCACACACACACACACTATATAATAGAAATAAGGGTTCTTTTACATTAATGATCGAATGCCTTACAAGAATGAAAGGCATCTTCTTTCAAAATAGACAACGAAGCGTTTAGAAGATCGCCTCTGTTGGTTAAGTGCAAAAACTCTTGTTATTTCATAAGTAAATTATACTTAAAGTAAATTAGGAATCTATTCAAAAGAGCTGAAGATGATGGGCGGTCGTACATTAAGTATACAGATTTAATAGATTATAACACCAACAGACAGAAAACAAAACAAACAAAATAGTAAAGTCGTGTTAGGTTTAAATCCTTTAAACCACTTGTTATTTTGCAATTATTCATTAACTTTCGTGATATTACGTAAAACAACTTGTCTTGGTAAATAAAAGTGGGAACTGATTTTGCCAAAATTTAATTTTTCTGTTACAGATGTTATTAGTCCTCATCCATGTTCGGCATATTTATATTTGCTGGCATAGAAAGGAGAAACTTCGTGAAAGAACCTTGATATATAGTAAAATCCTAAATATATGGATATATTCGATCCAAGCTTTTGCTACGGTTCATCTGTATTTCAAATTCCTGCTATGACGCAATTTTCATCAAAAATTGTTAAAAAACAAAATTTTATGATTCCATTTTATGCCTCCAATTCTATGCAAGATGGCGATGCTCTTTTGTGTAGGGAGATCATAAGGATATAGTGTGAAAAATGGGGAAACACTAGTCCATCCGGTTTATGCGTCATATTGATACTGTTCCGACTATCGCCTATTTGCATCGATACTATCATGCTTCTTAAAAAGCGCTTTGATTCATAGGAAGATGCGGAAACAAGCACACGACTTGTGGCATTCAAAAGTTTTACATACACATGGGCCGAACCTAAGGCTAGTGCTTGGCAATATTTTTCTCATTTTTATACAATAAACGTGTAGTTTCTGTAGAAAAATTCCGGTTTCCTGGTAACGTACATTTCTATGTCTATATAGCTTAGTTAGTAGGAAGAAGTACATAGGGCTGATCATCAAGAACTTCTCTTTCTAAAATCTTCTTTGATGAAGCCAGAGGTTTTCTATATCCTTATTGGTATTGGAAGTCTCCCGTGTCCGAAAACAGTGCATAATCGCTAATTATTCGAGCAAGTGTTTGTGAACAAGCGGATGTAGTTTCATATATTATTACTACTGTATCAATAACGCCATTATGTCGTTATGATTAGCGGGCGAATACAAGAATTAATCTACAGATTACTATCTCTTTACAAACCTTCTAAAGACATGCACATATTACATACAATTAATGCAAACGTTTTAAGCAAAACATTGTGCTCCTAATCAAATGCTTACTGTACGTGTGAGTTGCTGTGTATTTTATTACGATTTATTTTTTTTTTTTACTATTATTTTTTCTTTCCAATTAAGGCTCAAAAAATTTTTTAGTTTTCATTCATTGATTTTTTCTTTTTTTTTTCGAATTTGCAGCTCTATAGCACTCACTGCGAAAGAAATTGCATTCGTTCGTCTATAAAAGACGGCTTGGAACGAAAGAAGCTGCCACTCAGGTTAACTAGATTCTTTACGTAAGTACAAGTCTCTTTCAATGCAATTTAATAATAATAAATTTAACCTGGGTTTTAACAAAAACAATTTAATAGAAATTACATACATATAAAAAAAATAAAATCATGTTTAATTTATCTTTGCTGCTTTGAGAATTCGGTAGATCCCGTAACCAATAAAAAGAACATTCCCTTCCCAGGCTTTCCCATGACCAAGATAATTACCTTGATTACTTCACCAAAAAGTACGTAACGCGTTTTATTCGTTTAGCATCACGCAACAAGGCCAAGACAATCTTAAGCCATTTAGCAACAAATGCTTCTGTCACTTTGGACTAGCGTAAACTTGCTTGGAATGTACTAATTATTTACAGATTTTTGATAACTGCCAACCTTCCAACTTCCAACCACCTTTGAAAATCAAAGTACAGTCCCTACAGTCCCTCTAGTTACAAGGTATCCTCTGAGCCGCGCCAATCTACGAAACTACTAACAACAAATTAAAGATACTGAGCTTATCGTTAAAGGAAAAACGGCGAAAGGCAGGATTCAATAGTTTTCCAAGACGACGGATCTCAAAACTCATCCAGGGCATGAAATTAGGGAAATACGTTACTACTAGTACTGATAAAAGAGAATTAGTTTCGTGTAATAAAAAAAAAAAATTGTGGATGTGTTTTTTATTAGTATTATTAAAATTTTTTTCAGTTTCAATTCGAAGGTATTATTAACAAACATTTTTATATAATAAATAAATAACATTATGAAACCGTTCTTCTTCCGACAAAAGATGCTGTATTGATTATTGCGCATTGCTTAAGGAACAAAGTTCCTATGAAATTTTTTAGTCGTAGGTTTAAAGAAATTCATTTTGTCACGGAAAATTTATAATCGAGTCATCATTTCAATATACCTTAAAGCATACAAAGAAAATAAGTAGTGAGTGGAAGTCAAAGATATTCTTATTACTTACGGAAATTAATATTGAAAGATTCTTAATCACAAATTATGTTAGCATTATAACGGCATGTCGCAAAGAACGAATTCAGACTTGACTTGAAGTGCCAAAAATCTTGGTAACATCATCATTGAAACTGGCCACTGCAAAGGGTGCATGTTCATTTTAATAATCAACTTTTGCGAATAAATTTTCGAGTCAAAAAAGCTTTGCTTTTCAACTGCAACAGCGCTGCCTCTAATTTCATTTCTCAATTGATATAAGCAGTGCTAGTTTTTAACATTTTCAAGGTCAATTTTTTTTGTTAAAATGTGACCGCAGAGATTACGGAAACGAAAGCAAAGGCTTTTGTTCACTTTGTATTCATTTTTAAAAGGACGAATATAAGGATTGCTATACCTATGAGACTCATTACCCTGCACAATAGGAATAATAATAATAATAATAATAATAATATGTTAACAACTGAACATTTTCATTGTGGAAAAAGAAAACATACCCGGTATAGTCGAACTCCTTAGGACGGGACCGGTAATCATCGTCCACGACTCGGAGTTCATGATATCTTCCAGCAAGTCGTTGCTGACGTATTTCATGAGCTGAAAGTGGCAATGGTGGTGGTGGGCGATAAGGGTGTTTATAAAACTGCAATTCGAAAGAATATTTAAATAGGCTTTTAATTTAAATTCCCGCAATAAACCGCCGTTAACATAATGCATAATAACTGTTTTAGTGATGAAGGTTCATTATCATATCATGGACAAAGTTTATATCCAACTTCCCAACTGTTATGTTTTAGTTTTATTTTATCTTTGCGTCTTTATGATTTTGAGAATGTAACTTGTATTTGCTTAAAGGCGTCCCTTTAATATTCCTACATTTTCATAATGATAAGCATGATAATGTGAAGATCATCCTATTTTCGAATTTGAGTAGTGACCGACAATAAGCTAATGCGATGCGACTTCTATTTCTTACAAGCTAAGTAACGTCTCTTGACACGTGCTTTTCAGAAGACAAAACCAACTTTCTTCCCTGCGAAGTACTTAAGTATGTCCAGTAAATAAACCAAGTCCAAGTTATCGTACTTACATCAGCTTCAACCGATCTACGTCTGTGCTGGTATTCTGGGGCACCGGGGCCACCGGTCCCAGGGTCAGAATAAGCTCTTGGCCTCTGTTTGAATAAAGAATTTATTAAAATTTTCGTTTTTATATTGCGTTTCACGCAAATAACGTACACTATCCATTTCTCCTTCTGTCCGTAAACTCGTTAAAATTTGATTGCTTTTCCTTTCACTTGATTATAATTCAATTACTCGGAATTGTTTAACATAACTTGAACTAAGAATTTTGAACGTTTCTCGGGAAAAGTTTGCAATTATATCAGTTTATAATTTTTAAGAAGTTTTTTCTAAATTGTCTCCATATTTGTTCTAAAAAAAATCAAAACGAATTGTGAACATACACTATTTCAAATATGCGCATACGTCAACAGTCGTATATTATCGCCTACTTGGCATATTGATTGTTCTACACATGTTGCCGGACTCCGAAATATACCAATAAGTTTTTCCAGTAGTTGGTGAAAGCAATTATTAGGGCCATCGTATAGTTCCGACTGTGC